CCCCGAAGTACATAATAATAATATTTAACACGCTCAGCACTTACAACAGATGCGCATTAATACCAATGTGCATCAACAGCACCAAGCACAGAACCCACCACCCTGCCCGATCCAACGACCACCACTACTGCCCAGGAAGACAGTGCTGGTGAGACGACAGTTTCGTTGAGAGTGACCTGTTCTTGTTCACAACGCACTGTCACTTCCAGATGATTGTCCGTGCAACGCACCACTGTGCACTCACTCTTTGTCAATACATTATTGTGACACATACACATCGTTTTGCTGAACGTGTACATCTTGCCGACTTATCATTGAGTGGCACGTGAATTTTTTTTGTCGTTTTAAAGAAGAATTTTTTTAATGACTTAAATGCTCGGGTTACGATATGAATAAGAAATAGTATGAATGGACTATAAATTGTGTTGACTCTCCAAAGAAAGCATCTTCGGAGGAAATCCATGCGTCATCGATGGATATCGTCACCTGCGCTGATAATAGCTTTGTATTTTGATTACTAAATGTAAGGTTTTAAAACAGTACGTTCAGGCTTATTCTATGCTTTGTATCCAACTTGCGTCATTCCTTATATGTATACTAAGTATGAAACACTTCGAAGTACAGATGTCGCAACCCGCATTTTTATGACTTTTTTTTTTGGTACCTAAAGTAGATTATTGAGCCACCGTACGTAGCCATGTGATAATGAGGTACAATCGTGCACTTGATTCATGGATCTTTTCGATGATGGTTATACAATAGTTCAAGTTTATGCGCAAGATGTACTGACTTCAGTGTGGAAATGTGTGTTCGTGTTTTAAACGTTTGCTCATTTGTGTATGTGTGTGTGCCTGTGTGTTCTGTTCCTCTTTTGATCGCTAGATCTATGCTCTTCACAGGTTTTGTGTTCGTTTCTTTTTTGTGCACTTACTTTTGGGGAAAGGATGACGAGCAAATGAGGCTTTGAGCTGTTCATGTTTTGAAGCACTATTATTATGAGTGTAACCTTTCGGAAGCTGTAGGATTTTTTTCTCCTCGTTTAAAGCTGGGTTTTATACATTTCTGTTTCCCCAGTTTTCTAAAGATGTTCTCTTATTCTGTTATTTTGGTTTCTGTCTGAGTAAAATGCAGTAAGTCGTCTCCTGAGAAAAAAAATAAGGAAAAATATACATTAGCTGCCTTTGACAGTGACCTATATTCTGTCTTCCTTTTTTTTAAAAAATTCAGTTTACTTTCCTTTAAATTCAATCAAACATTTCTGTCCTCTGTGTCAGTACGGCAATCCGTTGAGAGTGGCCTGTTCTCATTCACCTCACACTGTTCCGTCGAAATGACAACGATGTGAATCACCAGCTTGCACGTTATCTTGTCGAGATGAATACGATGTGAATCACCAGCTTGCACGTTATCTTGTCGAAATGAATACGATGTGAATCACCAGCTTGCACGTTATCTTGTCGAAATGAATACGATGTGAATCACCAGCTTGCACGTTATCTTGTCGAAATGAATACGATGTGAATCACCAGCTTGCACGTTATCTTGTCGAAATGAATACGATGTGAATCACCAGCTTGCACGTTATCTTGTCGAGATGAATACGATGTGAATCACCAGCTTGCACGTTATCTTGTCGAGATGAATACGATGTGAATCACCAGCTTGCACGTTATCTTGTCGAAATGAATAAGATGTGAATCACCAGCTTGCACGTTATCTTGTCGAAATGAATAAGATGTGAATCACCAGTTTACATGTTATCTATGGTACCTTCTTGATGTTAGGCCTACGCCGTTGACGACATCGTTGAATATTTTACGTGCCCAGTTTTCTGGCAACACATACGAATCCATGATGGCATACACATATCGATCCTCCCAAAAGCAACTTGAAAACCAACTAAAAACCCAACAAATGTGCTCCAAGTGGGTGCATGGGGGGTTCCACTAACTGGTTGGCCCTTTTTCTTTTCTTTTTCTCTGTTGTTTTTCTATACTGTGTTGCTTTTTCTTTGCTCTAAATGTGTCCGTGCTTCTCCCAACTCAAATCTCAAACAAACATACACGTCCATGACGCAATAAACACCCTTGTTCTCCGCCAAGCAAACAGATAAACCAATTCAAACCAAACAAAATAATATACGCAACAGTGTTGCCGATTAGCAGCGTCCAGATTTTGTCTCTCCAGGGGCTATGGATCACGTGGCCGAGCTACAGAAACTGTACGGCGGCAAGGTGCCCACTGCTGGCGGGGCACCGCCGAAACTTGGCTCGGCAAAAGGTGAACACCCCGGTGTGGCGAGTGCTGATCATTAATTCATAACGCTACCTCTCTGTGTGTGTTTGGGGGGGGGGGGGGGGGGCTGGAGGGGAGTGGTCAAAAGTAAAGTATAACCCCCATGTCTTCGCGCATCACGACTTTAACCCTATCATTACGCCCTGGGGTCATTTTGTATCCCCGGGGTTGTATTCTTCACATTTTAGAATACATGTACTTCTAGTACGAAGATCTCTTTGACATTTTCATTATTTCTCAAAAAATCATTTTGACAGACCGCTATGCAAAGCGAACGGATCAGATTAACGAGTAAATTTCCTCTTTGGAAATTGGTGGCGCAGAGTTCCCCACGTCCTATTGATACGATAGTAGAACCTGACGTACGGATAGGATTAATAGCCCACTCTTTCCCGTTCCTGAAAGACATATCTTCAACCCATCGGTGACTCCCCAGTGATGCCGGATGTTGCGCGGTTTGTCAACCAGTTGGAAATACGAGGGGCTATACTTTACTTTTACCTCAGTGTGTGCTTGCTGTGATTGCTCTTGTATGCTGTTCTTTTTCCTCAAGGTCTGGTCCTGTAGTTTTGCTAGAGTGGAACGGTTTTCTATCTTCGAACTGCAAAAAAGTACAGTATGACGAGAACATAATTTTTGGTATTTGGTATCTTTGTATCTGTGCCTGTCTGTGTGTTTTCATTTGACCTAGAACTGGCATAAAGAATCTAACGAGAGCTCAAGATCATTTAATCGCACAGCGTCGTTTAGTGTGTTGGTTGTTTCCTGTTTGGGGACGGGGGTGTGGAGGTTGGGCTGGGGGTGTCAGAAGGGGGGGGCGGGGGCGGGTTATACCATTCATTTTCTCTCTTACTCCTCTTTTAACTTCTAGGCATTGAACTTAAACTTGGGGTGATTCTTTGACAAATGATACCGTTTGCTGATGGATGATTGTAACCGTAATTGGCTCTGAATTTTTGTTATTTTCTATTTCACAAAGACCCTGTAAGATCTACGTCTGTTGTATATTGTTTGCGTCACCAAAACTTTTGACTGACGTCTAGGTTGAAATTTTGTTTTGTTTCATTTTGTTGTGCGTAACAGTTTGACAGTTTTTTGGGGTGCTTTTTTAATAGTTCCATTACTGTAAATGTCTCGTAAATGTCTCCCCCCCCCCTCC